CGTGAGGCACTCTCCCAAAATTCCCAAATTCTTTTGATTTATCTACAAATCCACTTGAAGTTTAGATAGATCACAACAACACAAGAAGAGATTTTCGGATTTGAAGCCCTTATCAAGAGTCGCAGAGAAAGTTTTGAAGTAGATTCAAATTGAGAGTCCTGATATTTTAAAGATATGAATCTAGCCTTAAAAGAGGGAAGATGTGTAAAGAACTAGATTAGTTTTAGAATTTCAAATTCTAATAGGGCCAGATTATTATCTGTAATTTTAGAGATTGGGATAAGAACTTAGAATTAGAAACGGTTTTGAACTCTCTCTGTTTCTGTATAAAAAGGGGGGCACCTTCGGCTTTTGGGGGGAGAGTTGGAGGGAAAATTGGGAGAAAAATCGAGGGAGAAGGGAAGAGAATTGGCGAGCCTAGAAGGAACATTGGAGAGATTGAACGAAAGGGCAGCAGCTTGTAACCAGAATTTCAAGGAAATAAAGCTTGATTTTTCATGTTTTTCAGGTGTGCATTGTTAATTTCTTTGGTGTTTTTTTGTCCTGTTCTTATCTTCTCCCTTGCTTCGTGGGTAATTGCTTGTTTTTTTTTCAAGTTGTTTCTTTTCATGGTTTGCCTGCGCCTTTCATATTTGTTTTCTTCATTTGTTTCTCACTTGTTTTGTTTGTCAAGTCATTTTTTTTTTTTTTGCTGTTCGCTGTTTTGCTTCATTTCCAATATGGCTGCCTTCTCTTTTTAGATGTTTTCTTTAATTAGATTTTTAGGAGGAAAAACAGCGAGGATGTGATTTGATTAGCTTAATTAGTTAGAGTAATTAAGCAAAAACAAAAACGAAAGTAGAGGAAAGCTGCAGAAAAAAAATATATATAAAGAAACAAAAGAAACGGGAACAAGAAAAAGGTAGATGATGATGAACAGTATTTGTTTAAAGTGATTTTTGTTGGGTAGCTATCATTGATGAAAAAAAAAAACAAAATAAATAAAAGAAACGGAACGGAAAAAGACAATAGGGAGTTTTGTTTTTTTATGTTTTTGTTTTTGGGCGGTAGCTACTATTGATAAATTAAAAAAAGAAAAGAAAACAAAACAAAACAAAACAAAAAGAGAAGGGAACGGGAAAAGACTATAATGGGGTTTTGAACTTTTTTTGTCCTTGGGTGATTATTATTATTATTTTGTTATATAAAATTGAAAAGTTCCTAAAATTAAAGTATGTGGTAACCATATTATTTGGAAGTTGTGGGGTGCCTAATACCTTTCCCACGCTTAATCGACCCTCCGAACCTAGTCAATTTCTACGAAGACCTGGGTGATCTATCCCACCTCATTTGGATAAATGGCGACTCCATCCATTTTGGCATGTCAATAGTTTGGCGACTCCACTGGGGACATTGAAGGGTCAAGCCATTTATACTTTAATTTTGGGGGTTTTTCAATTACTAACTTTTGTTTTGTAGGTGGCATGGAGTATCTTGTAAGTTTTTTTATTATTTTGTTACTTTATTATTTTCATGTGTTAACTTTGTGTATACTCCCTCACACACCTCACTTACATATCATTTTTGTCCTTGACGAGGTGAACCCGACCTCTAGATAGATGGATAACTTATGGAGCAATGAAAAGCGCAATGCTTTCTTTATGAAGTGAGATTTATCCCTTTTAGATTCATTTTGTGGGTTAATATGGCTTGACAGCCATAATGCTGCTGCTGTATTAGGTCATGAAATGCCTCTTGTTAACTCTATAGAAGTTGGCAATTGTTGACTTTATGGAAGTCAATAATTGT